CTGTCAGAGTTTACAACAACAACGTCATGGTGACTGTCTGTGACAGCAGTAACGGTGTTGTTTGTGTTCTCTGACTCATCAGCAATGATATTGCCACACAATGTGTCAGGTTGTTTGTCTGTGGCAACACCTTTCAACAATTCCAAGAACCGACGCACACTCTCTGTCTCGTCCGAGTTCAGAGGTCTGGGGCTCTCTTTCTGGTCCGGCTGCTGTTTCTTTTTCGTCTCAGGCTGTTCAGGCTGACGTGGAGGGGGAGCAAGTCCCCTCCGCTGGGGTTCCCAGTGGGATCCCTGGTTGTATTGGTCACTTTTGGTGCCATACTTTTTACCCGTAGGGCGTTCACCCCCCTTCTGGTACATTCGTTCATCCTCTGGTTTCTTGGGAAACCATTTTGGATCTTGTCTTGACCAGGGGGCACTCATCTGTTGTGGTTTGGCTGCTGGGAAACCTCGTTTCCCAGCCTTTATTGGGAGGGGGAGCTGAAGCTCTCGTCCCCTCCAATTCTAATGACTGGGCAGGAATCCTCTCACCTGGGAACACCTCAATGGGTGTCTTGGCCTGTGAACGGGCCTCAAAGACATTCACAGCACAATTTTTTATCTCACTGATGGATTTCTCTTTGAAATTAGCCATCATTGCACTGATATTCTCATGTCAGGGTGAAGATTTTTGCTGAAAACGAACTTAAACGCTTCCTCCTCCTCCATGCCGGTTTTGTTCCTGTAACCAAAATAAGCCTGCAAGATTCTGGAATAATATGCCCTGGGGTGCTCATTCTTACCTTGCTTGACCTTGTCGGTGGCTGGATATCCGCCAGGTCCCGCGCAAGGGGTGTACTCTTTCATAAGAGCAGCACATAACAGGCTGTAATCCTTTCTTGTGGCATCAGGTTGACGCTCTATGAAGGGAAACACCGTCCTGTCTGAAGTGAGCCTGATTAAACCTACTTTATCCTCAACTGTAGCGTTGGGATAGCTTCTTAATTGGAAGTCAAGGTCGTTCAGATAGGCCTTAGTGTCGGTTGACCCCAACGGCCCCGGCTCAAAGCGTTGGACATACTTCGCTATTTTATGCAAATCCGCTATCGAGAGCGGAGGCTGAGTGATTGGCGTTGTTGGAACAAAATGATCACGTGGAGGTGATTCACCAGACTCACGTAGAGGTGGCAGAAGGGGATTATGTGTAGGAGGTACAGCAAACTCTTTCTGAGGTGGTGGTGGGTGACCTGGACTCTGACCCAGTTCGTCTTTGAGTTCCAGACATCCTTGCCCCTCGTCGGAAATTTCATTTGTTGCTGCGGCTAGTTTTGCCTCACAGGCTTTTAAGCATTCATGTGATGTATGACACTCACTTTGTAAACGCACACCTTGTTGGACTAACACCACTTTTTACAATCTGCATTCGTCCAGAGATTTTGATGTGAGCTGCAACCGTTGGTGCAGATTATTATTGTCTGAACACAGTGCTTGGTAATTAATCCCTCCTTCACGTAGCTTTACCTCATATGAGTCTGCTTGTGATAACAGCTGAGCTTGTGAGACCTCTTTCTCACGTTTTAATTCATTTTCCCAGGTTTCCTTATCAAATTTAAACTGTGCCATGAGTTTTAGACACTCCTCTGTCTCGCTGTTTAACCTTGTTGCAAGGTCTTCTGCCCTGTTGGCCTCAATATAAAATTTAGCCTTCAGCAAGAGTGCTATTTTAGCTAGTTGTTCATAGCTTGACTTTATGGCTGCAGAAGTCACACTTTCTGTAACTTCCTTCAGCTCGTCCAATAACTCTGTTGAGTTCATGCGGTCCACCTGTTCACCATATGGATGTAAGGACTCTGTGAGCAGCGTCAGGGCTGTCTCCAGCCAGTCCTTTTTATCACATGGATCAACATCAGCTTCTGTTAAATCTGCCATGGTTATCCACTGTTCAGCAACCTATCTGGTTAAGCAGTTCCAATCTTAGAGTTTTTAACAGGTAAATATTGTATTTAAGTGGGCATCGAGATTCACACACTATTTTAGCTCTGGGTTCCATCAACAGTACTGTTATAAGCCAACTTTTCAATAAATGGGCACCTGTTTGTAGGTTTTACCCCATGCATGAATATCTTAAGTAAATGCCCCTGTGGCAGTGTTACTTAATGAGCTTATTCTAACAGATACAAGAGCCAGGCTATTTCAGTGTACTCCAATGCACTTAAAATTAATAAACCTGTAATTTTTCTAAAAAGTCTGACAGCAACTTTATAGTTTTAAACGCTCTCAAGCAGTTTAATTTACTAGAATATGCTATTTAAACAGTAACACATAAACCAGGCTCTGATTAACAGGTAAAACATTTTTTTAAATGAAAGGCGAGTGTACAGCTGTCTTTCTGGTAAACTGTTATACTCCTTTTCAACAGCAGGTGGCACTGTAAGCTTACTTTTACCGGTAGGAGTCGCTGACGACTTCCTGTGAACCGTCCTGTTGACATCCGGTTGTTCGCCGTTAGCTATGATGTAGCACATGGTCGAGCATGGTTCAAATCGGCATTTATGGACGGATTTAAAGCTTAAACATCGCGTCGCTGGACAAGCACGCCTTTTCTGCATGTACTCATGAGTTTAGGAACAAGTGTCAGGGCCTTATTCAGCTTTTTTAAACACAAAGGAGGACTCCGTTAAAACGAGCTTCATTTCCGGGGTCACGTGACTTTACAGACACGTGCACATCGGGGTGGGCTTTACGCACTGACATCAGAGTGAGAGGACGTACAGGGATACGTCACCAGCTTCTCAGCGAATCAGAACGATCCAAACAGCGGTTCTCAACCAATCACAGCTTGTGTGTACTCTCTTTAAGCTAGCAGTTAGCATCAACAGTCCGGTCAAATTATCGCTCATGAAAGCTTCAACAATTGCACAATTTTACTGTGAACGTAACAAATCAGCATCGGAGCAGCTTCTGAGACAGCGCTCAGCTTCAAACAAACGTACCACCATTCAAAAACACGACTCAAACGAGTCCAGTAAACAGAACCGGGTCAGACACGCAGAACCCCCGTTCATGCTACAGTTTCAAACAGAATGGATGCGTTATTCTCACTGCTTACAGCTTAGTTACACAAACAGATTGACAATTTCAGCTTTAACGATGAACACATTGACGTAACCTGCAGCTTTCTGAACACCAAAAGTATGAAAATATGTCTGTCCAAGGTCAAACTCTGACTTTTTATGCCAACATGAGCGTTATTTTACAACAACACAGATCTCGTGTCACACATAATTCATCTCTTTAGAAACCTTACGGGTCACCAAATGTAGTGAAATGTGGGGACAGATTAACTGTCTCTTCACTACTAATTAATTATTCTTAAAGCTAGTTCAAGCACAAAGATAATTAATTATTTAATTACAACAGATTCTTTCTTTTTCGAGTTAAATTAATGCCATGTGACCGAGCTAACTGTGAGGATTGTTTAATCAGTGACATGAGACGCCATTTTATCTTTGACCCATCAGAATAAATGCGGTCATTTATTTAACAGAATCAAAATTTAACATCAAAACATGTACACTTGATTTGCTGATCTGGTTCTGATTAATAAAAACTTGGCACGCTTTACTAACAAGACAACAGAACATTTCTGAAGGCATCTAGATTGATTTACTGGCGAAATAGAAAGTTTTAAAGGAAGGAATGGAGAAGTTGAAAGTAGATGGATGGAGGAAGATGTATGTTGTTGACCAGAATTAGCACGCTTCTTCCAACACCAGCTCAACCCTCCGGTACACTTAGTGCGTGACACTCGTGACGTCTCTTTACCTTTGCAGATGAGGATCAGCTCCGGTATAGATGTCCCTATTTCAGGGGTCCATCCTGGGTCCCCTCCTATTCTCCTTATACCTGCTGCCACTTGGTGCTATTTTCCGGAAACACAACATGCCTTTCCACTTCTACGCCGATGACTGTCAAATTCACTTCCCCCTAAGACACAATGGTACATGCTCTATTCAACCTCTGCTCGACTGCCTGGCTGACATCAGGGACTGGATGGCTTTAAACTTCTTAAGTTTCAATGAAAAGAAGTCTGAAGTCATGTTGTTCCCTCCCAATGGCACGATCACAAACCACTGCATCGACTTCTCCGCTCTAACCCTGTCAGAAAAACAAAGAGTCACTAATCTGGGAGTGATAATGGACCCTTCCCTGAAACTTAACAATCATGTAAACATGATTGTTAAATCATGTTTCTTCGAACTGAGGCGGCTGTCTAAACTGAAGCCCATATTGTCCAAAAATAACTTGGAGACAGTAATACATGCATTCATTACATCTAGGCTTGATTACTGCAATTCACTCCTGTTTGGTATCAGTCAGACCTCCATAGCACGACTACAACTTGTCCAGAATGCAGCAGCCCGATTTTTAACCAGTACAAGCAAAAGAGAGCACATTATACCAGTTTTGGCCTCACTGCACTGGTTACCGGTTCACTTTCGAATCCAGTTCAAAATACTCATGTATGTCTACAAAACACCGAACTGTGCCCCCCCCCCCCCCCCCATCTCTCTGATTTGCTACAACCGTATGTCCCACCACGCTCCCTGAGGTCAGCGGACCAGTTGCTCCTCACAGTTCCAGGAACTCGTCTTAAGCGCAGAGGTGACAGGGCCTTCTCTGTAGCAGGACCAAGACTTTGGAATGTGTTACCTCTGCTTGTCAGACAGGCCCCCTCCCTCTCGGTTTTCAAGTCCCGTTTAAAAACCCACTGCTATTCGGTGGTTTCAACACCAGATGATCTGTGTTTTGAACCTGTATGCTCCACACTGGTTTGTCGTTATTATCTGCATCGTTTTTATGTCTATATTCTGATTTACTTCATTTTGTATATTGCTTTGTGTGTTACCTGTTGTTCTGTCTGTACAGCACTTTGGTTGGCCTTGTCGCTGACTTAAGTACTCTATAATTAAAATGGTATTGTATGGTATGGTATTAACGGTACCTTTGGGTCTGCAGCCCCAGCACACCAACGTTTGCTTCTGGTACATCCCCCCCAGCCTGAGAGGGATGCCCGAGGGCCCCGAGAGGCAAGAACGGCTCCACATGGTAACCCTCCTACACCTGACACACCGTTCTAACATCATCGGCTTGTAATTTAATTCAGAAATAGAAAAATGACATTTCCTGATTAAAGCTGCTAAAAAAGCTAAAGCTTACAGTATATAACTTATTTACAAACCAGATTCCAAAACAGTTGGGACACTAAACAAATTGTGAATAAAAACTGAATGCAATAATGTGGAGGTGCCAACATCTAATATTTTATTCAGAATAGAACACAAATCACAGATCAAAAGTTTAAACTGAGAGAATGTATCATTTTAAGGGAAAAATATGTTGTTTCCAAATTTCATGGCGTCAACAAATCCCCAAAAAGTTGGGACAAGTCCATTTTTACCACTGTGTGGCATCCCCCCT